CTGCCGCAGCTGCCGGTCCCGTTGCTGCTGCTGCCGCCGCTGCTGCTGCCTGCGGCCGTGCAGCCGCCGAGGCTGTCAGTGCTGCCTCGTTCTAAATCATCGGCAGCCCTGACCGCTGACGTCAGCGTGGGGCCATCTGGGGCTTCGGTTGCCAGCTGCAGGGCCGAGCCTGCCGGCGCCGCTCGCCAGGGCAAAGCGCGCCCGCCCCGAAGAAGGATCAACACCAGCGCCCGATAGTAGCACTGTTACGAGCCAGGACAGAGGGAGTGGGCGCACGGGTGCCTTTCTGTGGAGGCAGCAGGGCGCACCGAGCAGGTGCCTCGGCCAGCAGCACAGGGAGCAGGGTTTGCCCAAGCGGGGCCAGGCGCCCTCGGCGTCCCCTTACAGCCCATGATCACCGTCAGAAAGGAGCACAGATACGACTGCTGCGTGCTATATAGCCAAGGAGCTCGCATGGGCGGGGCCCCTGTCAGCATCATGCTAGTTGCATGCTATTTGGTAGTCAACGCGAATAAATTTTAGGACTATGATACATAGTGTGTGAGCCGCATGCCTTCTACTCAGGTCTGCCTGACCTGCAAGTTGAACTTCAATTGCCGCTCCACCTCCTGCAAGCGCCTTGTTTCGTAGGTGGAAGACGCGTGAATACTTTTGGCAGCCTTGTGTGGCTTCAAAATTCCCAAGCAGCACCTCCCGTGGCCCGGTGTAGATCGTTGCCATTCTGTCGGAGCCTCTTCCGAGCAGCCGCCATCCTCAGTAGGCCCTTCCTAACAAGCTAAATCGTGAAGGCGCCTCTCGAGACGCACGCCCCGGCTTGCTAGTGGCTGCAGCAGCAGGAGTGCCGCGCCAGGCACTGAGCGCGCTGGCGCGGTTGCGCCGCATGCAATGGCACTGCCGGAGGGCCTGGACATCGGCGCCTTCACCTCAACAGGGAACCGTTACGGCAATCTGAATCAGGACTATGTGCAGACGGTGCGTGCGTGCGCAGCTTGCCGGTGGCGGGCAGCGCCAAGTCGGCGGGACGCTTTGCTCTGGGGTATCTCCAGCAAGGCCTGCCGCCCGCCGCACAGGCGGCTCGTCGCCCTTGCTGGCAGCAACAAATCGGCACCGCCAAGTTGGTGCTGCCAAAAGTTGATTTTAAAAGCATATTGCAGCATTGGGCCCGCCGCCAGTGTAGCACAATGTTGGCGCCGCGCTCGCACCCTTCCAAACTGTGGCAGGAGGTCTGGCGGCCCGGCCCGCCCCCCGCCGACGCGCCGCACCCGGCCGCCGCCCAGGCGCCGCCGCCCCCGCTGCTGATCGGCGCGGTTCTTGACGGCCACGGCCTGCTGGGGGAGAGCGCGGCGAGCGCCGGGGGCCTGTCCGTCGTGAAGGAGCTCCGGCGGCTCATCACCGCCGCCACCGCGTGCGCCACGCCCACACCCGCGCCCACGCCCGCCGCGCCCGCCAACGGCCAGCCCGGGCCACCCAGCGGCCCCACTGCGGCCGCCGGCCGCGACGGCGCGCTCGAGCGCACCCCTCTGCACGGCCTGGCGCACGCGGCGGCGGCCGCGGCGGCGACGCGGACGCTTGAAGCCATCCCAGAGGCTGAGCTGTGCGCCTTGGTGGACGCCGCCTTCCAGACCGCCCACGCGTCGGCGCTCGAGATCTACGACGACCCGCCCCGGACTGCGAGCTACCCGGACTCCCGCACGGGCGCGCCCGCCGTCTATTGCCTCCAGTCCAAGGACGGACTGCACATGTACGGCGCGCCGCAGGGCAGCCGGTCCGCGGGGCCCGCATGGCGGCCGCTTGAATGCGGCGCCACGTGCACGGTGGCGCTGCTGCAGGGGGGACGGCTGGTGGTCGGCAACGTTGGGGACTCCAGCGCAGTGCTGGGCAGGTGCGCTCGGGGCCAGCCTGCCACGCGGCTTGGGGGGAGCCGTGTTTGCAGCCACGGCTTGCGCCCGTTGTTGTTAGGGCCGGGGCTGCCAGGATTGTGAGAGCTGGCCCCTCCCGTAATTGTTATCTGTTTTAAGTGCTCTTCGCTACATTGCTGCACGCACAAGTACTGGTGCGTGCACATGCAAGGCTCGCTTACTTGCACACATGCACATGCAAATGCGCGCGCGCGCACACACACACACACACACATACACACACACACACACACACACACACACACACACACACTGCTGTGCGCTGTGGGTGGGCGTGCACACACACACAACCCCCAAAGCACGGGTGAAACGAAATACGTGCACTCAAACCATACACATGCAACTTTATGCGCCTGCACCCACACGCACGTCGCCGCAGCCTTGACGACGAGGGCGGCGTGAGGGCGCGCCTGCTCACCTTCCAGCACTGCGGGCTGCACCCCGAGGAGGCGGCGCGCATTTCAGAGGGCTACGGCGCCACCGTCCGCATACTGCCGCAGGACGGGTGCGCAAGGGGGGGGTCCAGGGGTTGGGAGGGGGAGGCCGTCGATGCCATTCGCGGCTGCACCTGGTCGTGTCGTGCGCCACGATGTCTCCTCGTCCTGCAGTCACTGCCCTCATTCGATATTTGCACCCAATCTCTCCGCGTTCGGAGCTGTGGCGCCGACCACCATGCACCCCTAATGGGATTGGCGCCCCAGACTCGCAGCTGAAGCGCGGAAAATGAACGTGCGCCCCGCCCCTTCTTTGGGTTCCCAGGTACATGGCCGTGAGCGGCGGCTTTTGGGCCGGCTACCAGCTCAGCGTGACGCGCGCCCTGGTGCGTGTGCACGCTCTGAGTGCCCCCGTTGCCAGGCTCATGCCGCCGCCCCGGCCTCTCGCCCCGGCCCCGCGCTGCATGCCCTGCGGGCGGCCGTCCATTCGACCAGCGGTCCAGGCGCCCACACCTCGCAGGTCTGAGTCAGCACTGCCATGGTTTGTATTGTCAACTCAGCGGTCTCTCTCCCTCGACCACCTTCTCTCAAGGCCTCCTGCGCTCGCCGACCCCCTCTGCACGCGCCATGCCTCAGGGCCACAAGCACATGGAGACCTTTGGCGTGCTGCACAAGCCGAGTGTCACCTGCGTCGACCTGCGGCCGGAGGATTGCTGCGTCGTCCTCGCGTCAGACGGTGCGCGCGGCGGCCGTGCAGCCGTGCGGGGCGTCGCAGCCGATCGCCCCTTGCACACGCTAACAACCACACATCTGATGGCCGTACCGCACTGCTGGGTCACACTTGCCGGCCGGCAGCACACACAGGGGCAAGTGTGCGCACGCGCGCAAACGCGCACATGCATGCACGGCTGCACATGGGCGTCCACGCACAACGCACGCGCGCTCCCCCAGGCTCGGCAGACGTGCGGGCGCGTCCCTCGTACACCACGATTCTCGGCGCCTGCCCGCCCCAACCCCAGGCGTGTGGGACGTGATGGACCCTTCAGAGGTTGTGAACCGCTGCATGGATGCGCTGACAGATGGCAAGAGCGCCGCCGAGGCCGCGCGGCAGCTGGTGGAGGACGCGGTCGCCCTCGCAGTGGGCAGCCCCTCTGGCGACGCCGACAACACGAGCGCGGTCGTGATCGCCCTGCCCGCCTCTGGCGTCTGACGGCCGGCGCTCGGCGCGGCGCTGCGTCCCTCGGCCATGGATCCCCCGCTGGCCCCATGGCTGCCACCTGGCCGGCGCTGTATGGGCTTTGAGGGCGCTGTGTTGTGGCGGGCACAGGGTCCATCATTGCTATTGCGGGCTGCATTTTCGATGCACGAGTGCCCTGCAATGTAGGAAGAAGGGGCCCGGGGCCCCAGCACTTGCACGGCGGCCTCGATAGGCGTGTGCCGCACGACCACGCACTACATCATACCCACCGCGTGTGCCAGCCCTCCCACCTCAGCTTTTCCTTGTCCGATAGTGGAACACCAAACCAATTTTTTGAGGCAGCGCGGCGCGCCGTCAAGGGGTCGCCTGAGCTCCCGCGGCTTTGCTGGTTCGGCGGCGTGGGACAGGCCCACCGCGCCGCACCTGCAAGCCGCGCGCGTGGCTGGTGTCGTTCACGCTTCGCCTCACCTTGTTTCCCATACCTTCAAGGGAAGTGACTTTTGGGGAGCCCTCTGGGATCCCTGATTGCAAGAGAGAAAACGCTGCTGTCATCCCACATCCGGGGGCATCGCGCTGCGTTCGCGTTTGCCGTTTGTTTGCGGGCGTTCAGAGATACACTGGCGCAGGCGCGCCACCCAGTGCGACTGCACATATACATACGTGCGCCCCGCCGCGTCGACTCTTGGTCGTCGGCCTGCGTGCAAGCTGAAAGATCCGCCGCCCTACTCACTGTTGTTCACAGTCCTGGCGGCCAGTGTTGCCGCACGTTTGGGTTCGTGCCGTGTGTTTGTGCGTGCGTGAGAGCCCTTGCGTGTTTGACCCTGCTTGGGGCGGCCGGAGCGGAAGCCGCTGAAGCCCCGGCCGCCTCTCAACATTGCGCGGTCTGCCGCAGATGGGCGTGCGCCTGGTCTGTCCAGGATGTCTGCATGAGTACATACCACCATGCGGCGTCCACGTTCGCGTTTGTATGTGCGCACGAAGCCGAGGATTCAATGCGGCTGTGTTTCAGCATCCCCCCACACACTTCCGGCTTTCGCACAGTCCCCGCTTCCCCCTCTTGATGTTATCTTGCCTGCGTTTGGCGTGTGTATATCTCCGTTGGGTGCGCGTCATGAGTCATCGAAACAGTTTTGCGGCCAGTGTTGGCGTACGGATGAGCGGAGTGTTGTTGTTGCTTTGTTTGTGGCCACTGACTATGTTTGAGTGAGCGTCCAATGCACTAGCGGACGGTGTGTGAGCCCGGAAGACGAGGGAGGAGGTGGAACACATCACTCGTCAAGCCGTCACTCCGTGCCGTGATGATCAACCAGCTGGTGTTGGCCGTCCAGGTCTGCGCAAGATCTGCCTGCGCAAGGCTGTCGGCCGTGGGTTCTGCACAGCTGCACCAGTGTAAAAAAAGACTGGAATGGCAGCATATGTTCGTCACCCCAGCCAAGTTAAGGCCTTGCTTGGGGCAATACTGCCACTAGTGGTGCACGTGATCATCGCCGTCAGTTGCTTCACCCCTCTGGCATCAGTCGGTTTCAAACTGGGTTGCTGCGATCCGTGGCTGGCCAGTGGCCACTAAGCAACTCACTGAAGCCGGCCTGCACCCAGTGCCTGCCTAACAGTGATCATTCAGGCATGCAGCTTACCTGCAAGGCCTGTCAGCTGCATGCACCTGCGCGTCTCGATCACAGTCACAGTGCGGCAATGAAAGCCGCCCAAAACAAGGCCGTCGTGGTTGATTTCCTTTGACATGAATGTAACGGGTGCGCTTCTGAGCGCGCCATGGGGCTGCATGTGCATGTTAGCCGCGCGAAAGGGCAAACCCTCAACGCAGACCCTCAGCTCATCAGCAGGAGTTTTGTACTGTAGTTCAGTAGTCATTGTCGGTGAGCACCTGCCGCTCATCACAGAAAGTGGGACCGCCTAGCGTACAATTGCATGAGTGCATTATAAAATCGATTACACTTATCATATTGTGAATTAGGAGGCCGTGGCGGGTGCAAAACCGAACTTCAATCATCACGAGCATGCGTTGCATCCACATAGTATTGTGATGCAGAGCTACTTACACAGTGAAAGGATGGTCGAATCACAGCGAGAGCCGTGCATGGTGAGTTGCGATGCACAAGTGCTATCGGGCATGGTCAAGGTAGCAGGACATTATTAATCCACAGGAATGGGATATGTACGCAGCATTAACAGCTGTACTCCAATAGTTGCGGGAATACAAGCTCAGAACCATCTGCTGCCAGCATTACTGCACGCAACACGACGAGTGCGCCGCTGCATGCGCATGCAAGACACGCGGCCGCTGCATGTGCATGTCAGGCGCGTTGCCCAACCATCAAGCCCCCTGCGATCACTGTGCAGGCACTTCTGGGTATACCGGGCTACACCGGCTTCTTGCCTGGCTTTGCAACAGCGCCGATCCCGTTGAAGGTGTCGAAGCACCGCCCAGGTGGGCCCCGCAGCCACTAGCTGCCTGGAGGTTGGATGCATCAAGGGCCGCACCCAAACAGCCTGCACCTCCTGCGGCCCTCCTGGGCTCCAGCTACTGATGCAACCATGCGCCAACATTGTCCCTGGGCGGCGCAGGGCGGCAGCCCGACTCCGAGGCGGCGCTCGCAGCAGCCGCCGCCGCGCCCCGCAGCGCCAGCGAGTACCGGGCGACCTTCGCCCCCGGCCAGCTGCGCCCGCACGCCGCCGCCGCCGCCGCCGCTGGCAACGGCAACGCGACCCAGGCGGCGGCGCAGCGGGGGGGCGGCTACTGGTTCGAGGAGCGCTCGCGCGCTGCGGCCGGCCGGACGCAGCCGTTTGTTGGGACGACAACATACAGGGCCGAGCTGCTCGCGGGCGCCGCCACTGCGGAGCAGCAGCTCGCCGCATCCCAGGGCGTCCCCGCCACGCTGGTCGGCTACGCCCCCGCGCGGGGCACGAGCGCCGCTGGCGTGCGCCGGGCGCAGTCTGCCTGCTCGCTGGCAGGGGGCGCGGCGTCGGCGGGAACGCTCAGCGGCAACGGCCCTATGGGTGCGCCTGTGGGGTGGCGCACCACATACGGCGCGGCCAACCGCCTGATCCAGGATCGCTCAGAGGCAGCGGCTGCTCGCCAATGGCAGCAGGGTACCCTTGACGGCGCCTCAACTTTGACCCTTGGCGGCCGGGAGCAGCAGCAGCAGCAGCAGCAGCAGCAGCAGCAGCAGCAGCAGCAGCAGCAGCAGCAGCAGCAGCAGCAGCAGCAGCAGCAGCAGCAGCAGCAGCAGCAGCAGCAGCAGCAGCAGCAGCAGCGTGCAGCGAGCGCAGGCGCGCGATTCTGCGGGTCGTCGTCGTACACGCGCGACTTTGTGGGAGACCCTATCGCGCGAATGCGGGGGACGGCCGATCCGAGGGCTGCCACAACGCTGCTCGCCACTACACGAGACTTGAACGAGGGCACAACCAGGGCGTGCCACCACGTGCCAGGTCAGCATGCCGCCACCTCGGCAGGCCCTCGCTATCACAATCGAAGAGACTTCGAATTGCGGGTCCAGCTTGCACGCATTGCAAGCACGGATGAAGCGTATTGTTGTACCAATTGGTGCGCCACCGGGCTCAGCATGCGCTGACAACTGCAGACCCAATCGACACGCGATCGTGCGCCGCAAGTCAGACATGGAACCGCGCGCCGCAAGTCAGACACGGAACAGCGCACCCCTCACGCCCAGGACTCGTCACCTTGCCTCGGCCCTCCCTTCACCCCGCTCCCAACCCCAGGGTATACCGGCTTCGTCCCGGCCGCCCCATCCGCCCCCGCCGCCGCGCGCGCCCAGGCCGCCGGCGCCGCGCCGCGCCCCGACATGAAGGCCTCCATGCTGCTGTCCGGCCTGGACCAGTTTTCGCGCGCCCGGCTGCCCGGCTACACGGGCTACAAGCCGGCCGGCGGCGCGGGGGGCGCGGCGGCGGAGCAGCCGGCGCATGGGCCGACCGCAGCGACGACGCAGGGCTTTGTGAACTGCGAGGTGCGGGGTGTGGGTGCTTGGTGCTGCGTTGAGGCGGGGCGGGGCGGGGTCAGGGTTGGGG